GTGGCTGGGGACCGAGCGCAGCCCAGGGACATGGCTGAGTGCAGAGCCAGGCTGCAGGCGCTGGTGGAGCGTGTCACAGGGAAGCCAGGTGAGGAGGCACTTGGCCAGATGGGCTGGGGATGAGGGTATCAAAAGCAGAATTGAGGATTATAATCCTTGGTTAGACCCTATTCTCCATGGGTTTTAAGTCTCCACCCACTTGATGACTTGATGGACCTGTGCCTCCAGCCTTTACTCATGTGGTGGAAAAGTTCCAGCCTCCCTGAAGGGTGGGATTCAGTTGTTGCATCCATCGCTTCCACAGCAACATGTGTCTTGCCTTTGCAGAGTGTGATGTTCCCCCAAATGGCGAGGGACATGGTGAGTCGTGTGAGATGGAGCCACGCCATGTGCTGAAGGACACAGGAGGTGAGTGGCACCTGGCGCAGGGGTCCGTGGATCAGGGCCTCACAAAGCTGGTGTTGGCAAGGAGGAAGCAGGTGGAAGAGTTGGATCAACTCTGCACCCTCTCTGAGAAATGTTTGTGCTGGTTTAGGTCCCTCAGGGGTCATAACCAGCCTTTAGTGTCCTGCCACTCACTGAGCACTTCTACCTCCCAGTTCTCCAGCCAGTTTGTCAACCTTTGTCCACAACCATATGGGAGTAATTCCCCTTTTTGGGTTGTAGATTACCTCTTTGGGTTGGTGTATCCAGCCAGGGATGCAAAATGTTCCCCGTAAGCACTCCCTGATGGGGATGGCAAGAGGTCCGTGACCGCTGCTGGGTTTGCCTAGGTCTTCCCCCAGCTCTTTGGCAGCAGTGCTGTGGTGGGGACGCTGGTGATTTGTGAATGGTGAAGCCATTGGCATCAGTGGTGTGTGCTGGGATGATGTGCTGGAGGACCCAGGTTTGGTCAGAAGGTGGTAGCAGTCTTCCAGAAAATGAGGGCGGAAAAAGGCGGAAAAGACTTTGCGGGGTCTTCTGCTCCATCGCACTCCTGCTGTCTTCAGACCAGTGTCCTCCTTGGCCCTCTGTGGGCACCCACCACTGAGCTCCCCAGGGCAAGCTCATGGGCAGTGGACAGGCCAGAGAAGAATCCAGGGGTGATGTGCTGGGGGGGAGCTGGGGTTTTCATGGGGACAAGCTGCCTCCCACCCCACTTCTTGTGTCTCCATCACATGGTAGGCATCATCTCTCTGGCTTCTTTCTCCACCCCACTGAGACAGGCTGGGAGGACCCTCCAAGCCCTGATTCTCTTCTCCTTCTCCCTTCAGCCTCCCTCCCCATAACAGGTACCCCCACTCCCCAGCATAACTTCCCTTTTGAAGATGAGGCCACCGTGATCCTCAACCTGGAGCCTCCCAGGGAGCATTGCCAACCGCGGGAAGGTCTCCCCACAGGACTGCTTGCCCACCACCAGCTCTGCCGCCCCATGTCGGACCCCTCTGATGGCAGAGGACACGTATGTCCAGATCAGGGAGGGGAGAAATCCCCCACGCGACCCACCCCTCCAGCCTTTCTGACGCAGAGGGATGAAGAAGCCGAAGAAGCCTTGGGGTCATCCCATGGAGACACTGTGCCTCTTCCCAGGAGCATTCAGGATTCTCTGGCCTCCCTGCAGGAAGATTTTGGTGGCTGGGCCAGGTCCAATGTGCAGCAAGCAGATGAGCTCCTGGAGGTGGGCAGTCGCCTCCTCCAAGCTCAGCACAGGGCAAACAGGCGCCTGATATTGGTGACCCAGGAGATCCAGGCCATGTCCCGCACCCTGGCCACCATCGCCTCTGCCGTGGGACCCTTGCTGCAGCCTGGGGCCAGCTCACAGGACTTCCACACTGCAGACGTGAACTGGCCATCGCTGCCTTCTGACTTGCTGCAGTTATTCCCTCCCAGCACCTCACAGATCCCAGGGGCTTCCACAGACCCTTCCCCCTGTAGAACCCCTCCTGCCCCCCGCTCTGCCAGCCCAGCACGCTCAGAGCCCTCCAGCCCATCTTCTGAAGGAGAATACCCCAAATCAAAGCCCTCCACCAAGGGCAAGCGTGGTGGGAAGCCCAGTACCCGACTTCGGAAGCGGAGGAAGAAGTGAAGGTCTGCAAACCAGAAGGTTTGTCATGGATTGCAGCTGCCTGGAAAGTCCTTTAAAGGTCCTGTAGAGACCAAGTTCTCTATCTCACCTTGCTGTGCTAATAAATCCATCTGGGATGAATGGTGCATTGGTCTTTTGTGGGATTTGGGAAGGCAGTGTCTCCCCTGCAAACGAGCCCTCACCACTGCCTGGCAATAACTTGCTTGGGAACAGCAGGATCCCCGTAATTTTCTTTTTTTTTCTTTCTTTCCCAGCATGTGTGACCTCCTGGCTTATGACTCTGGGATGAGTGGGATGGCAGCAAATCCATATGGGAGAGCTGGAGGAAAGGCTTTAGTGCAAGGGTGGGTGAATGAGTGGCCTTAGCCCTTGCAAAGTCACTTGAGCTCTAATGTTTGGTTGCTGTTTTCCAAATTCTCTTTCAAAAGATGAGAGCAGCCAAGCTGGCTTAGCATAGGGCTGCAGAACCAGGGCAGACATTGTCCCTTGTAGCCACCTTTGTGTCTCAGGTGCAAACATCTCAGTGTAAGACTGCACGTGTAGTAAAAAGTTCCCCTGGGCACAGTGGCTTGCAAGTCGTTCCCTGCCTGCACCTTGTTGGCATCCAAGGCTGATGGGGGAGATATGCTGCAACTGGTTGTGATGGATGTTCCTCCCTTTGGTAAAATCCTGGGAAACACAAGGCAAAACGCAAAAACACGGGTGGTTGTGCTGTTGTGGATGCCAGCATATGGAGCCTGCTCCTACAGAACCAGGGATACGTTTCAGGGTGTGGAGATCTCCTCCATGATCTCCCCTTTTCCTTTTCTTCTTCCACTTGATTCAAGTTTAAATTTCCCCTGCTGCCTCCAAAAAAAATCAGCTTTGATCAGTAACGAAGAGCTAGCCAGGAGTCCCTCATGATCCTGGGCATCCTCAGTTGTCCTTGGCATGAGCAGCTCCGTGAAGACCGTCATTACAGGGCAGGGACAGGGACAGGCTAGGATACTGGGAGAGTGGGTTTGCCTTGGGAAAATGTCACACACTCCCACCTCATTCCCCTAGTGACCCTGCTGCAAGTCTGGAGATGAGACACACGGTCTGGAGGTGGAACATGTCTCTGTGGATCTTATGGACCTAATTGTTAGCAAAAAACGGGGGGAAAACTGCAGTTGGCTGCGCAGCAAACTCAGCATCTGTCCTGTGGGCAAGGGACCCATTCCAGCACCTCATTAGCTCATTAGAGCCCATCACAATGGGTTCCCCAGCAAATTGGGAGCTCTCAGCTGTTGCCACTTGCCCTTATGGGAAGTGTGCTGACCCTCACCTGGGGAAGGAACGGCTGTGGGAGGTGTGGGCTATAAAAGGTCCCTGGGGAGCAGTTGCTCCTTGTGCTGGACCCTAGTAGGCGAGATGAGGCCTGGAAGTAGCCTGGGGTTTGCTCTTTTCTGCTGGGTTTTTGGGGAGGTGCTTGCTTACAACCACTGGGACTTTGTTAGAGGGGAGGCAGAGCTATGGAGGTATGGGAGGGATCCTTCCTCAGGGCAGCCCCGTACCTTCTCCCAGGCCTCTCCTTGGGCATGGGTGGATGTCTCTCAGCTCCAGGCTTCTGCGCCTTTGCACCCTGTGACTGTGCAATGCCAGGAGGCACAGATGGTGGTCACGGTGCACAGGGACCTCTTTGGCACAGGACGCCTGGTCAAGGCTGCAGACCTGACCCTGGGCTCCGCTGCCTGCTTGCCTGTATTTTGGAGTGCTGCTGAGACCATGGTGACCTTCATGGCTGGACTGCATGAGTGTGGCAGCACCCTCAGGGTAAGGCTGGAGCCCTAGGGTGGGGGGATGTCTCTTGTCTCACATCTTAGTGCCTTGGGGTGCTGAGACTGGCAGGGGGTTGTGGTGTAGTTTGCCTCAGAGAGAGTCTGAACACCTTGCTCTGATTTTCAAGGTCAGCAGAAGCTGTCTTGTCTTGTCTGGGGCTAGTTCTGGGGTCATGTGTGAAGCGAAGGGCATGCAAGAGGCAGAGAAAATGGGTTATCCCTGGTGAATATGGAGGTATCTAAATCTTCTGGGACTGTTTGGGCTGTTGCTGCCACGTCCAGGGGGGAGTCCAGATGACCTGGTGCTGGAAGCTGCTGCAGTGAGCCAGCGGTGGATGCTTACCTTGGGAGACATCTGAGTTCTGCTTGAGTGTAGCATGAAGCCACTTCACAGAAAGCTGAAATCTCAGGTGGTTTCTCTCCCCTGGGAGAGGTTTGGGGCCGTGAGGGTGAGCAGTGCCTCTCATTCCCCCCCATACTTTAGCTGGCAGACATCTTCATTAAATCCCCCTAAGAAGAAGTCTCTCTTTGATATCCTGGAGGGCAGACCTGTCTGCCTGTTCTGAGGCGTGGACTCTAGAAGAAAGAAGTAAGAATCAGCTTAAAAGTAAGATGCAGTTTAAGAATTTGCATCCAGCTCTGGACAGGCTGGAGCATCTTCCCAGCCCAGAGCATCTCTGCAAGCAGGAGGAATGCCACTCGCCTGCCTCCAGCTCAAATGCTACTGGCTGATGGCCAGAAGAAACATCTCAGCAATGAGCTTTCCAGGCTTAGATGCTCTGCACTGTGTGCAAGGCCAAGGAACAGGGCTCCTAATGGTTGGATAATGTGGCTTGCCTTTTCCCCAGGTGACCCCTGATGCTCTAATCTACAGCACGAGCTTAAATTACAACCCAGTTCCTACTGGTAACCCTGTCATTGTCCGCACCAACCCTGCCGTGGTTCATGTTGAGTGCCACTACCCAAGGTGAGCTGATGCAGATTAGTACCAAGCAAGTCCTTCTGTTGCTGTAGCCCATTTAACTCTGGGAACCTCCCCCCAGGAGTGACAACGTGAGCAGCAATGGTGTGAAGCCCACATGGTCACCCTTCCGCTCCACTTTCTCGTCTGAGGAGAAGCTGCCCTTCTCCCTTCACCTCATGAATGGTAGGTTTTGGGTGAGGGCCTCTGGTGCAGGGCAGTCCTGAGGTGGCTGGGCTTCCATGAGATGGCCTAGTTGGTGCTGGAATTACCCCAGTGCTCCTGGAGCAGCTGGGGTTTGGTACAGTTTTGATGAGTACCCAAGACCTTGAGCCCATTGGGGTTTCCTTGGGTGGAAGCAGTGAAGTGCAAGCTGGCTTCCCTTTCTTGAGTGCCTGGTGACTTCTCTCCTTCCAGATGACTGGAGTGCCCAGAGGATCTCCACCATATTTCAGTTGGGAGAGGTCCTCCACTTCCAAGCTGGTGTCAACACCGAGAACCACGCGCCTCTGAGGCTCTTTGTGGACAACTGTGTAGCCACTCTGACCCCAGACAGGAGCTCTTCTCCCCAGTACACTTTTATTGACTTTAGTGGGTAAGAGGAGGCTGTGCTTTTATCTGGAGATGCCTTTCTGCAGGTTATGAGTATCTCTAAGAGTGTGATCCTGTTGGTCTTTGCTTCTGTGTCTAGGTGCCTGGTGGATGGGCAACTAGATGATGCCACCTCAACTTTTATATCCCCAAGACCCAGGCAAGATGTGCTTCAGTTTGCAGTAGATGCGTTCAAGTTTGCAGGAGACTCCAGCAATCTGGTAAATCCTCCCTAAAGCAACTGCCTCATAGCAACGTATGAATGAGGTCACTCTGTGTTCCTGCTTCTGGCTCGTGGCCCTCTGAGCCAAGGATCTTCCTTGGAGACCAGGTCTGACACTAGTCAAGACAAGCCCTTCTGATAGCATTCAATAGCTGAATTCTTAAGTGACTTGAAGGAAGCAGAGGTGCTTGGGCTGCCCTGGAGAGTAGGTGGTCCCATTGGAGACCAGCTTCATGATGCTTGGGAAAGTCATAAAGGCAAATAACAGCCTAACCCTTCTGCTCTGTCTGGCCTCTCCAGATCTACATCACCTGCCACCTGAAGGTCTCCCTGGCTGACCAAGCTCCAGACCCTCTGAACAAGGCTTGCTCCTTCAACAAAGCCAACAACCTGTGAGTAGCTGGAAGAGTAGCTTGCCCAAGGATGAAAAGCTTGGGCTTCTCATCTTCTGTATCACCTTCTGGAAAGAGAGTTGGCCATCTGGCTGGGAGGGTTGTGGTCTCGCTTAGGAGACCCCAGAGCATGTGAAGGACTCCCAGCATAGGGTGAGCTGGTCACTGGGCTCTGTTCTGGCACAGGCTACCTGGAGAGGTTGTGGAGTCTCCTTCTCTGGAGACATTCAAAACCTGCCTGAACGTGTTCCTGTGTGACCTACTTTAGGTGATCCTGCTCTGGCGGGGACTAGATCTTTCAAGGTTCCTTCCAACCCCTAGTGTTCTATGATTCTAGCTGGGCTCCTGTGGAAGGCACCCAAGATATCTGCTCCTGCTGCGAGATGCGGAGCTGTGGCTTGGCTGGGCACTCCAGAAGGCTCCATGCTTCCTCCCGACAGCAAGGAGGACGTGTCCGGAGAGAACTCCCCTCCCAGCCTGGTATGTCTTGGTGTGTCTCTCGGTCTTTGTCACCACCTGGTGACACCTTGCCCAGAGCTGGGTGGCTGGAGCTGCCTTAGTGCCTCTTGGCTCCTCAGTGCTAACCCGAGATTTAGGAGAGAGAGATGTTCAAATGTGTTTGAGTGCTCAAAGCTCCTCCTTTTCAGATCCCTGGGTGAAAGAAGCAGATGTTGTGGTTGGACCTCTCTTTATCCACAGCTGGCAGGACCACACAGTTAGGAGGTTGTCTTCACAAGGTAGGACAAACCCAGGAAGGGGAGCGGGGGGATGGTTTGTGGCAGGTCCTGGCTCTGGCCATAACCACCCTCCTTACTTTTCCTTCCTAGATGCAGGTCACTTGTGGATGATACTGGGCCTGGCTGCAGTCGCTGGTTTGGTCATCCTGATCCTTGCTGTTCTAGGAGCTCTGACTGTCTGCCAGAAACCCAGCAACCCTGTTTAAGTCACTGGTTTCAACTTCTGTTGTCTATCCAATTAAAAAAAATAATACATTGAAGGACTGTGAGAGGCTTGGTGGGCAGAATGGAGAAGCCTTCCTAGAAAGACAGATGGATCAAGTTTAACTGTGCTTCTTCACCTCCCTAAACCAAATTTAAGTATTTCCTTGTCCTCAGCAGAGCTTTGTGCAGACTTATACCCCTATTGACTTCTCTCAGAGCACGTAGTTGGGAAGTTAGGCAGAAAAAATAAAAAAATCACTACCCAGATGCTCTGTTTTCTTGTGCTTAGCCTCAAAACATTTTACCTTTCTGTGGAGCTGCTTGAATCTGCCTCATCCTCATAATTCCTTCCTTGATAAGCTGAGGGGAGCTAAAGGTTTAACAAAATTTTGATTGCTTCCCTCCTGCCTGAAGCTGTTTCTGGGAGAGAAATCAAATGTCACTGAGTGAGGAAGGCAAGCACAGCTTGAGGGTCGGTGGGTTGAATTTTCCTGGGACAGATGGAGGAAGGAATTCCAGTCCCTGCCCCAAGGACTGTTTACACATAGTTTATACGTAACAAGCCTTGGCTGAAATGTATAAACAGTCCTTGGGACGGGGCTGGAATTTCTTCCCCCCTCCCCTCACCCCCAGAAGGGGGCTTTCTGACATTCCTGAGTCACATTTGCCTTTTTAGAAAATTTTGGCTCTTCTGCTTAGCAGAGTAACTAATGCCAAGATGTTCATACCCCAAACCCAAGACCTGTTACTCTCTGCTAAGTGGGAGAGGTTCCCACTTTTGGTCCTGTTCCTACTGCTGCCTATGGAACACCTTGGGATGCAGTGTTTGTCAGAGTAAATCTGGGTTGCTGGATTCATGGAAGACTAAGACTGATGAGTAGCTGAGGCTTGCCTGCAGCACCTCTTGAGCTGATTTTCCAAACCTGCTCTGAGGGAGCTGGGGCATCCCTCTTGGCTGTGAGGAACAGAAGACAGTGGTTTATTACACCACTTGACATGTCTTTAGGTGTCTTCTAGCACCCTGAAGACCCTCAGATGGATGCCGTGTGATAGATGTCACCTTGCAGGGGGATCTCATTATCACCAGGTACAGAGCTGGCATTGAGATTCTGGATCACCTCAACCCCTGTCCCATCCCTCCCATGGCTGCTTGTGGATCTAAAAGTGAATTAGCCCTCTTGCAAAGTTAAGATTAATGCTGGGTTAGATCAGGGGGCTACACTGACTTTGAGAGCTTCCTTCCTCATCTGTATATCCTGACCCTTGCTGCAGGGATTTGGTCCTTGTCTTGCAGCAAGGCGAGGGGTAGGACCTTTTAAGGGAGTAGCTGGGAGAAGTCTTCACTATCCATTGTGAACTATCTGCTTTTGGTGAGGGAGGAAGTGCGGGTGGAAGCTATCTCAGAAGGTCTCCAGTCCAACACCAGATGTATCAGCCAGGCTGGCAATGTCCAGAGATGAAGGCTCTCCCACCTCTGTGTGCCCAGCCCAGGCCTACACAACCCTGCTGGAGAAGAAGTGTTTCCTTACCCACTCTGAACCTCCCAGACCATGAGTTGTGGATGTTGATATGTAGTAAATGTTCACAAAACTGATTCCTTCCTGATCAGTGCCTTCTCTGTGGCCTGACCCTGAAAAATGAAATGTTCTCTAATGGTCTTCCTTATGCAATAGGGGAAAAACACTGGGGTTTGTGCTTCCCAGTGTCCTGGGACTTTCTGATCTCTGCTCTGTCCAAAAAAAAAAAAAAGAAATGAACTCAGGATTTTTTTTCCCAACTGTGCTGGTCCACAGCCGACATCACATTGTACTTGGAATGAAGACAGGACAGCTGGTCCTGGCAAGGACTAGCCTAGAAGCAGAAATCCCCTTTTTCATAGAGAAACACCCTCTTTTCCTTGAGTCTGGTGGTGTTTCTCCATGTGGATACACCTCTGCTTAGTTTGAGCCCTGTAACTGCAAAAGTGATGGGATTTATTCTCCTGCTGGGATCAAGTTCTAGTACACAGAGACACACAGCCCAACCCCCGAGCACCCTCTCATGCCGTGGGGTGAAACCCAGCTGCTCTCCCATGGTCCTTGCAGCCAAGGACCTGGCTGAGCAGCGATGCTCTCCCGGCCACTTATTTACTGATTCGGCATCGCCCGCTGCTGTTATCTCCTTGACACACAGGGCTCAGCTCACTGGAATCCCTGGCATTTCTACGCAAGTGCCAATCTCAAGGTATCTGAAATATGAAGGAGAAGTCCTGAACTCACTGAGAAGGAGCAGGGATGAGACATCGGCTTCTGGAGGAAAGGCAGAAGGTTTTATATTGGCCTGTAAATCTTCACATGTGTGTTTTTTGGGGGATGTTGTGTCAGGAACAAGCTTGTCCCAGCTCTAAACCCAGTGGGATTTCTGCTAGGAGTAAGCTAGACAACATCTGCACCCAAAATTTCCAGTGTTTTTAATTTTCCATTGGGATGCTTCCAGAGGCCTGGCAAGTAAAAAGAGTTAAAGATGTTCAAAAGAATGCACAGAAACCCCAATATTGAGACTTGAATACATGTAAGGTTTATTTTTAAGCAGGTTTCCCAGTTCTCCAGCTCTGAGGAGCCAGGCAGTGCCCAGCCCTGTTCACAGCAGGTGGGATACAAACCAGGATGCTGCAGTGTGTGGAAGCCTCCAGCTTCTTCTACCCCTGAGCTCATTTCCTTGAGGGCAACAAAAAAAAAATGCTGGGGAAGAGCAGTGGAGAATAAAAAGGAAAAGGCTGCAGCATTGCAGGTAATTACCTCATTGTTGAAGCTGAAATGGGGGGTATTCTGCCCTGGCTGCGAACGGACACGCTCATGTCAGCGGTGAGGGCTCTCCATCAGCTGCTGCTGACCGAACGTCCTGGCCCTGCTCAGGAGCTGGGGGATGCGTAAAGCCCCTGTTTAGGCTGGAGTTTTGAGCATGTGACCTCCTGACCTACCCCCGCCCCAGCACATCAGCATCTGAGCGGAAAACCAAAGTCCCGGGAGGGCTGACGGCACCAGACAGGGATGGTCCCCACAGAGGGGATGGGAAGCACCCGGACTGGGATCACAGACCCTGCATTTCCCGCTCCTGACACCTCCCCAGCAGCCTTGAAAAGCCCCTTATCACCTTATAACCTAAACAAGTCACTTTGTACCAGTCTCCTCGTCTCCGGCTTCTGCTGAGTTTTCTAAACAACTTCCTCAAAGAGGCTGACAAGGATTTTTTCTCTTGCCTTGGGCAGCTCGGGAACGAGGGGTCCCAGCACCCCGGAAATGACTCCGTCATGCCTCCCCACTCCATGCACCCACGAGGGCTGGCCTTTGGGTGCCATTGGTCCCCAAACAGGAGCCTAGGGGCAGGCAGAGGGGAAATATAAAGGCTGGAGGATCAGCTACAGCTCTCTGTGCCAGAGTTCGCTGGAAGAAGGAGGGATGAGACCTGGAAGTGGCTTGATCCTCGCTCTTCTCTACTGGGCGGCGGGCAAGGTGGCTGCCTACCCACCCTGGGGTTTCTCCTGGGGTGACTCGACGAACCGGGGGGCACGGGCAAATCCCCATGCTTGGCCTTGGGTAGAGGACTCACACTCTCGAGCCATCTCCAGCCAGCAGTGGCCAGTGATGGTGCAGTGCCAGGAGGCTCAGCTGGTGGTGACGGTGCACAGGGACCTCTTTGGCACTGGACGCTTGGTCAACGCGGCTGACTTGACGCTGGGGCCATCGGCGTGCAAGCATTCCTCACTCAACCCTGCCCAAAACACCATCATGTTCACCGCCGGCCTCCATGAGTGTGGCAGCATTGTACAGGTAAGAGTTTGTCCCCATGGTCCTTCCCTAAGTCCTGGGATCCCATCTGGCACCCCCCTCCCTGGGTGTAACTCAAGGACAAGAGGGTATTTTTCCCAAATTGGTGCATTATTCCTCAAAGCTGCTTTGCCCTTTCAGCTGCAGACATGTTGATAGTGTAAAAGCCCTCGTGTCAGATTCATTTCACTTTTGTTTTGGCCCATTAGGAAATTTAACTCGCTGAGAACAGGGTGGGTCTCCTTCTCCATCCTCTTTTCCCTGGCCTTTTCCCCCTTCCTTTTGAGTTTTCCAGCATTTCTCAGCTGGAAAAGGACGGCTACATGGCTTAGTGATGGTGGTGGGAGGCAGGGTGGCCTCTCTACCAGCTTCTCACCACTTTTCTGTCCCAGATCACGCCAGATTCCCTCATTTATCGCACACTCCTCAGCTATGACCCCAGCCCCGCCAGCAACCCCGTCATCATCCGCAGCAACCCCGCTGTCATCCCCATCGAGTGCCACTACCCCAGGTAAGACCCTCCCTGCCCTCAGTACCCCCACCCCAGTCCCCGGGGGCTGTACCCTGATGCATGGTTGTCCTCGCCCAGGAGGGAGAATGTCAGCAGCAACGCCATCCGCCCGACCTGGGCTCCCTTCAGCTCTGCCCTGTCAGCAGAGGAGAGGCTAGTGTTCTCCCTGCGCCTCATGAATGGTAGGTGGGAAGCCATCCCGACCTGTGGATGGTGATGTTTTTCACCTTTTTCCCAGTGCACCACACTGGGGAAGCCAACCTACCCTGTCAGCACTTGGGCTGAACCTTGGTTCTGGTCCCATGGGAGCTTGGGGACAGCCCAGACCTCTCCCAGGATTGTCAGCCTGGCTTTGTGTTGCAGAGGATTGGACCGCTGAGAGACCCTTCACCGGTTTCCAACTGGGTGACGTCCTCAACATCCAAGCTGAGGTGGGAACTGAGAGCCACGTGCCACTGCGGTTGTTCGTGGACAGCTGTGTGGCTGCCCTGAGCCCCGGCACTGATTCCTCACCCCACTACTCGGTTATTGACTTCAACGGGTGAGCCCCAGGGATGTG